GAAGTTTTGTATAGATAAACCCAGGCAATATAAAAACATAAAAATATTCTCTCCTAACACCTATAATAAATTGTTAGTTCTCTTCTAATAGCATTTGGTTAATTGTTTTACAAACTCTTGAAATGTGCTCTGAGTATGAGTAAGTCTGGTTACTATCTAAGAGCAATTAAGTGATGACACTTGGGAGAGTGGCAGAGTTCTTATTGCAGTTTTGACTATCAGAAAAGGACCTAATAGAAGTCCCATTATAAAAGAGCTTAATTATCATTGATATAATTTTAGGAATTCTTATAGGATCATCATTAAGACTTAATAAGTCATCTATTTGTCTATATAGCATCACTACAAGACAGTACATCTTCATGGATCTGCAGAGGTCTGCTCCAAAGGGGTGTGCCATTGCTTATTGATTGTTACATATGTTTAATAAAAATAGAAGAAGCATATTAATAGCAGGAATATTTCCTAAAATAAGTTCCTTACAGCCTTGCTGAATAAGAGCTCACTTGTTGCCGATTATATAATAATCCAAGGCAAGCCATTTCTGGATGATCACCTGCTAGTTACTAGCTTGTCCCATTATGACTCTTGACACAGGAGCCAATCTGATGCAACTCACAGGAGGATCTTTATTCTATTTGAGCTAGCTTGGGCCCCTGCAATGCACCACCATCATGCAGGATGGATTTGGTGTTGGTAGTGGGAGCCTTGAATTTCTACCAGGGCAAGGCTTTATAGTAAGCAGCAAGAGGAGGTAGGTGCACAAGCATCTAATTAGAAAGCTACTGTGGCCTTTAACATAACTGGCTGGTGCTGGGAATCATATTATAAACGTAATTTATATTCCCCTTATATTCCCCTCTGCATAGGTGGTCATTAGGTAGCAGGTGGGCTTGTAACCTGGGGGTACAGGTTTATTGGGGGAATAACCTGGAGACACTGGTCTTGTTAGAGATTAGCATCTTGTTGAAAGTGTAACCTGGAGACACTGGTCTTGTTAGAGATTAGCCTAGAAACTGGAGCTAGGCTAGAGTTTTGTTGGGGGGCAATGTGGAAACTAATGCTTGGTATGAGACTGTTAATTTACCTGAGTTCAAACTTAGGCTAGGTTCTCTAAAATGAAGATTGGACTTAAAAGATTTGGTCTCACACCTTTACCTCTAAAATAGAGACATCTTCATCATAGTGGATGATCTTGTTATTGGCATATATTCACTCTTCTAGTATTTTCTTAAGTATTATTACACCTTTACTTATCAGGTAAATAGGTAAATTTGTGTGTGTGTGTGTGTGTGTTTCTGTGAATTTCCTAATCAAAACTATTAGAGACAAGATTTCAATACCATCTTCAGTTGGTAGTACACTCAGAGAGAAATTTCTTGCATCCAACACACTGTAGAATGTGTTTTGGTATTTTGATGTTGGTGATTTTTTTCAGACATAATCTGGTAACGTCCCAAAACACACAAGAACATGCATGTGTGCACACATGCATACACACACACACACACACACACACACACACACACATCACAAATAGCCATCTATTCAAATAAATATCTATATTCATAAATAAGTTCTAAATTAGAGTTTAGAGGCAAAGTAATAGTATAAATTAGTTGGAGAATGAGGTTGAAAATAAGGTAAATGAACATGGATTTTACAAAATTTTCAAGAAAATGCAAGTAATTTCTGGGTCTGTGTTCAGCCCCACTGCAAGGCATGGCTGCTCTAGAGGCTAAATGTGGGGAGCTTGACTGTGATTATCTCACATCACAGCAGCTGGACTTCAGGGGAGCTCAAAAACACTTCTCCAAGGGTAGGAAAATACAATCTGAGATATGGGAAAGCCAGAGGTGGGGTTCCCAGATCCCTGGGCACCCAGTCACCCCTGAGGTGCTGCACAGAGGAGACAGGAATGAAGGATCAGGGATCCATAAGCCTGAGAGTTGGCCAGGACCCAAGACTCCCAAACTGTTGGACATCTAGCCATCTCTGAGTCAAGAGGAGTAAGGATCAGAGTCCAGGGCCCCCAGGATGAGGATAGCATCTACCCTAGAGGGATGGTGGGGGGAGGGCAGCTCTGCCCTAGCTTAGCAGTGATTGTCCTTAGTTTGGCTTCAGTTGTGGCTGAAAGCACAGAGAAGCCTTCTACCACAGGGTTAGGCTGCAGCTCAATAAATAGTTCAAGGCCCCCTTTGTGCTCCCCATGGTGATTCTTGATGAAAGAGACAGTCCATGGTTCTAAACTGTTTGTTGACTGTTCATTATGGAAAATGAATGCTTATCAACCTCTCACGGTGCACCTGAGAGAGGTTTTTTTCTCAGGGAGGAATGTCTGGGGAGAGAAAGTTTTGGCTAAACCCTCAGGGCCTCTAGGTATCTCATTAGCATGGAGAACTCTGTTCTGGGCTTATGTGACCACAGGTTATGTTTTCTTATGTGGGAAGTGTGGCATATGTTCCAGGCCAGAAATTTGGCAAGGAGTAGGGAGGCGAGTATCATCTCAAGTGTAAGTTTCCAGGATCTCAACCAGCTTTACCCACCAAGCTTCCTGGAATGGTTTACTGTCCCAAATGTTACTATAATTTTCTAAAGTAGCATTATTTTACAAGACACAGAGAGAAAAGTTAAATAAAAGCTTTCTCTCAACAGAAAATAGACTATGTCATGATTTCTTAATCATATCTACTACTTATGGATGTTACTTAGCATCTGTTTCATCTTGTTCAAGGACATGTTCCACAGCCTCAGAGAACACTTCATCTGAATTTGCTATCTTGATAGCTGACAATATTCTAAGGAATCATTGCAATACATACACGAAAATGTAATATATAAATGCATATTTGTAGGGCTTGGTATTATGGAATATAATTTCAGTGAATATCCTATATTCTTCAAAACTGATTGTCTCACATTGTTATGCCCAGATCTCAAAACCACAAAGACCACCAGGACTCAATTCACATGAGGGTTTATTCAAGCTCTGTCCGCAAACCTTCCGTGATGCAGCAGAATAGGTGAGCACCACGAGGTCTGGGGGAAGAGGCTTAAAATAAAAGATAAAATCTCTTTTCCAAAAGCTGTCTAAGGAGATTACATTTTGATTACATATTGTTATGTGAAAAAAAACTGCAAGCAGGTTAGAGAAGGTTTCTTAGTCTTGGCATTATATGATTGGATAAGAGGTTTATGGGCAAGTTGATTTTTTTTAAATGAATGTCTCTGTTAGGTGCCAAGGCTCAGCCATCTGGAGAACATCTGACCATTAATTAATAGCTGCTATAGAAGAGGAGTTATTAACACTTTTCAGGCCCAGAGATGTTGATAGGGTTGTTAGGTAATGCTATCTTCTGAGGGAGAAAGGAATGTTAATGTCTTAGGACCAGTAATTCCCAGCAGCTGCAGCTGGCTGGATATGTCTCACCTTGGGTCCTGATTCTCTATCTCTGGACCTTCACTTAGGTTTCTCAGTTTCTCAATATGTATATTGCTTAAATATATCCAGACCCATTTGCTAACTGAAGTGATAAATCAAAATGTAATCTCCTTAGACATATTTTGGAAAAAAAAAGATTTTATCTTCAATTTTAAATAGTGTAGGCAGGGCTAAAGAGTTTGTTATGTGAAATATTCTAGTTTGTTAGGATAATTCAACATCATATCATGATTTATAGAGGAAAGTAAATATGAAACAAAACATAAAATTTATTTCTGTGGTTTTCTTGCCAATGGCTTTCAAGTAAGTGTGACATTTTCAAATATTACAAGAGTTTCAGTAATAAGAATATCATTTGTTACACCAGAGTGATTTTGAAAACTATATTTAGTAAATATTTATATGCCTTTTGAATGAGACTCTTTTCACAAGGCCATTATTGCTACTTGAATGATTTTATTCAGTCATTCAAAAAGGAAGAACAACTTATAGATCATGAAAGGGAGAAATAAAGGCAAGTCAGGAATTTGGTATGCTGTATCCTTCATGCACAGGGAAGGAAAAATTTATTCTGATAGGAAAGGTGAATTATAGATGATACTGATTCCATGGTCAAGAGGTTATGATGCATAATTCTCATCCCATTATCTGTACAAATATGAAGAGAACAATTAACACATTCTTGGGTTTCTAGAGAACAAAATTGAATCCAACAACATAGACTATAGTGAAAAATGTACAGAGTCAGTTTCTGTCCTGGAATGCACCTGTGCCTTGTACTTTGGATTCTATAGGAGCAGGTTCTAAAGTAAATAATGGCATTGTGTAGTCCTGCATTAAAATTTGGACAGAGTTTTCAAAGAATATATTGATAAAATAAAAAAAAACTTATACCTTGCCTATGGCAAATTATATTCCACACATCATATGTAAAGAGAATGTTTCAAATAACAAGACACAATTTCTTGATGAATTAATCATAAATATAAAAATATTACCATTTCTGAAAGAGATAAAGTTCCTTAGTATTGTTCTATAAATAAAATCATTCTCCAATTCATTCTTGTCACTATAAGAATTTTAACTTTAAAAGACAAGTAATAGTCTGTATTCATTTTCCCTCATTTTGAATGCAAATTATTTTCACTCACATTTTGATCTCAAATACTTTATACACTAAGCCTGGGTCAATTCAAATATCAAGATAGGAAAGCATGGCTTTTGTTTCTACTCACCTGTACATGATACTTTCTGGACAGGTATCTATGAAAGAAATTGAGTGGAGTAAGGAGTGACAGAACTGGTATCATAAACATATAAGTATAGATCCCCAATGATTATTCCTGGCAATGATTATGTAATAATAAGATATAATTTGATTTCATCTAAATCAGGATATATATATATATATATATATATATATATATATATAGAGAGAGAGAGAGAGAGAGAGAGAGAGACGGAGAGAGGGAGAGAGAGACAGAGAGACAGAGAGAGAGAAATGTATGTATATGGATATATACAAGATATAACAAATATTAACATGCATAAAGGGTACCTATAGTCAGAATTTCTCGAATGTTTTCAAGTGGAATGTCCTTTTCCTTAGCATACTCAGCAAGCTGTTCCTTTCCTTCATTAGTTAGAGGGCCACCTTTTCCTGTATTGCATGAATGACAATGTCAGAGATCTGTTCATGAAAATCCTGCATAATGTACATTCCTTCCTTTGTATCCCATATGCAATGGTAAATCTCAACTTCTCTGTAATAATCCACTGTGGATGGGTTAATTCTGTCAATAAGGATTACCTCAAGTGCCATGTACACATTCAATAACATTTAAACAGAAATAATGATATCATGTTTTGATATTTTACTATTCACAAAAGTAAAAATAATGCTTGTCTAGAGAACTCACTTATCTTAATCCTATATACTTTCAAAAACACAACAGAGTCTTCAAGTAGTTTCAATGTAGCCTTCACATGTTTCCTAAGTCTATACCCTAGAGTTCATGCTTCAATTTTCTACATATTTAGTGAATTGACACTGCAAATAGTCTGAGATTAGGGAGAATCACATTTGCTCAATATTGTCTAGGGAGGAAACATGAACATGAACTCTTCCAATCACTTCTTCTACCACCCTAAGTCTTCATGGTCCAAGCTATTGAAGTTGGTAAATGCACAATGTAGTTATCAGCTAGCACAAAGGACTTTGTAAATTCTATAACACTGTATTTGGGGTGAAGTTGGGAAGATCTGACTTAGTCCTTATTTGTGGAGCAACACTTTTGATACTATTTCAGAGATCCACTGCCATGCTTACCAACAAGGAAAAGCAATTTTGTTCTCCGGCTGGCTCTGTCCACATTCTCACTATAAAAGATTAAGTACTCTGATGTTGCCTTCACAAGTACATACTGATTTTCACCTTCATCTGTAACAGTAATGGAAATATTTCAAGAAAGTGTCATTCATGTTTCCACACAATTTGATGTCACCTGTTTGCTGCTAAATTTTCGAATTTACTCTGACTCTGGCAATCTTCTCTGGTTCAGTAAAACATGACCCTAGTGGGCATAACAATTCAGGAAGGCAATATGGTGACAAAACCTTTCAACTAATTGAAAACTGATTATGATTGTAGGTACACACAATTTTGCTTTTATCTGAATTCCTCGTGTCAAGACTATAGCACATTTGGCTGTGTGTTCCTGACTTTTTCCACCAGGTCTAAAGGCCACTTGTCAATTTCATGAGCGTTTAAAACCTTGGTGTTCACCCACGGTAATACTTGGTGTGTATATGTACACATTTTAAAATTAGAGAATATTAATTACTAATAGACACAAAGAATATCACCTTGTACAATTATTGATGAAAACATTGTAAAGATGAATGTTTTAGAGATTACCAGATATTGATATTTTGTGAGGAAAAAGTGGGTTTTCTGTGTGTTCCTGTTCACATGTGTGTACATGTGCCTGTGTGTACACTTGTGCATGTGCTTCTGTTTCTGTACTTGTCTGTGTGTGTGCTCATGCTTGTGTGCATACACTTCTGTATCTACATGTGCATGTGACTGTGAGTGTACATATGGCTGTGAGTGTGCATGTGTATGTGTGTGTGCATAGTGCTTTTGTGTGTGTGTATGTGTGTGAAGTGCTCTTGTGTGTGTGTGTATTGCTTTTGTGTGTGTATGTGTGTAAAGTGTCCCCCCCCGTGTGTGTGTGTGTGTGACGTCCACTTACTGACATTTAATAAAAGATAAAAGTTGGTCAAAAGAGAGAAGAAAGATTTTAGGACCATTTCACTTATTATTACAAGACTACTTATCATCCATGTAAAGATAGGTAAAGCATTCACTCACCAGTTGACTGTGCCCTTTGCGTTTTAAAGATCAAACCAACAGTCAAATTGTGTATAACTTAGTTGAATAATGTTGCTATTATTTAAAGATTCTTACAAAATTGAAATAATCAGTCAGACAACCTTAAACAAAATTTGCCCATACTTTTCAAAATTGAAGTTTTTAATTCAGTGGCCGGAATAAAATGATCTTTACCAAGAAAAAAGATTTTTGAAATAACTGTTAAGTAAAATATTTATCTTTCAAGGGTGATAGATCATATTTGTAATGTAAGCACATGGGAGCCTAAAGCATGAAGTTGGCAAAGATATTAGAAGCCATGGAGTCCTTGCATGGAGTAGCAGGATTGACAAATGACAAAGTGAGATACTGTATGAAAGAAAAACTAGTAAAAGTATCTAGAAATAACTTTTTCTGTGGGAAAACTCTTGGAAAATAAGTTGTTAGAACTATTCACATCTTTATGTAATAGTGTTCTTCTCCAAGTAACCCTCTGGTGACTTACAATGTATTCAGATTAGGCAGCATATCTCGCTGGATTAGAAAGATTAATAACTAACCAAGGAGCCAAAATTGCTCTAGATCCAAGTACCTTTGGGCTGCTGTAGTATCAGAATGAATGTACACAATCAGAATAGTTCGGTCATAGAGAGTGTTCCCAGATACTGTACTTACACAGGTTTATATAAGTATGACCATCTTCTTGCAGATACCCAGTGACTGTGGTCAATGAGCAATATCCATTTTGCCTAAAAAAATCAGAGAGAGAAACCACAGTTTAGTCTTCATCACTATTGAATTCATATTAAATATCTTCAAGTAGTATAATGTATTTGAGGAAGTACTATGAACAATGAAGTTTTCAGTATACAGAGATAGGAACTAATTACTTATTCCTTGAGTTTACTAATTTCTATTTAGAAACCATCATCCTGTTTACATTCATATACATATCTTTCTTCATTGTACCAATTTTGCCTCATGCTATACACTGATGACTTCCTTATCCAAAATTTACTCTTCATTTCATATGTTTCAATACGCTAATTTGTATGTTCTGCTCAAGCCAAAATATATGAGAATATTTATATGTCTGTATTCTAAATGCTTTCATTTGTGACCTGAATCTTCAAATTTTGACTATGAGAGAGAAATGATTCTAAGCATTTTCAGATTTTAGGTGTTATGGACTCCTGAATTGAACATAGTCATCTACATATCAGATAGAAAAATCTTTAAACATAGAGCCTCAGAAAAGGGGGTTGCAAAGTATATATCTCTGACCTATTTCTGGAAGATTCTTATGACATCACTAATTGAATAACATAAAGTGTATGACTTTGACGTAAATGGTCACACCATCACCTTACTACAGAAGAGTTCTTTAGAGTATTCTATATCTAACACAGATGATGATATTCAAAGGCAACCCTCAAACCACAAGGTTCCCTCAGGAATCACTCATTGAATTAGAAAGAGTGTTTATCTCTCTGTGTGGTATCCAGAGCTGTTCCATCACAGAATGATATAATTGCCTGCTAAAAATAGGGCCTTTAATTTCATGACCAATAACAAAACTTTCTCCTGTGAATTTCACAGTGTAAAGGGAGAGAAAAGTAAATTTACATTCTTGATAATATGCTTACTTGATATAAAATTCGACATTCATTACTTTGCATCCCTCCTGACAAGTAATTTTACGAACAAAGAGTTCCAGAGGACCACCATCCTCTATCTTGTCTTCATTATCAGCAGCAATGGCAATGGTTCTCCATTTTCCTTGAAGCTGAAAAAGCAACAACAATGGCAAAAAATAAAATCCACAACAGACCATTAGAATGTGTGTTGGTGTACTCATCTCTAATATCAATACCTGAAATACTTAAACTGACATTAAATATCAATCAATAATCAATAATATTTCATTTATTAGTTGACAATTATGCTTCTTGAAATGAAGCACAACCCAGAGCAATATGATGACGTGATTAACATAGAATCATGGACCTAAAACTGCTCAGCTTTTATCCTCATACACTCTGCAAATAAAAGCCCTTATTTTCTTTATTTCACTGGTTTTGTCCTAGAGAAAATCTGATTGCATAAATGTACCTAAGTGAAAGACAGAAAGATTATTTCATGCAGATGGATTTGCATAGACTGACTGATGATATATCACATCCATAGAAATATGCTATTGGGGAAGCTCACACATAAGCACAGACATGCATTTACCTTAGCATGAGCCAGTCCAAATGCCAATGCCAGCAGGAAAAATTTCACCATCATGATTCCTAACTTTGCTCTTCTGCAGATGCTCAAATTAGGAAAGTGGTTGTGGAGGATCTGAACTTACAAAGCTTTTTATACAGTTATTTTGAAGGAGGAGCATGAATTCAACCAATGATTCACCATCTCAAAAACACACATCTGTCCAGTACTTCCCATTGGGCACTGACGGATAGTGAAGACTTCATGTCCCTGAACTAATAAGCTTACATTTAAGGTCAGGACATGCTATGTTGATTGAGCATTCCTGTTAGAGTGAAGGAACTACCACTACAGTAATATTTATAAGTAATGATTTTGGTCTAGTACTATAAAGTGATAGATAAAGGTCATAGTACATACACATATACCCCACACGATTCATTTAACCAAAGTGACGTGTATTTTAAAATACATTCTTAATATTAGCCTAATACTGTACAGTTAAGTGAATTTAAAACTGTGGCTTGAGCAACAAGAACCATAATCACAACATTCTCAGAAGTCAAGATATTAAAAAATAAGGAGGATCTCCTTTAAGAGTTCAGTCATAAGTCTTCTACTACTTTTAAGCCTTTCTATATATTGACTTCTTTCTTCATTCAGTATATTGTATTCTACTATCATGAGTACAGACCTACAAGAGAAATCTTGAAACTTATTTGAATAAATAATAGAAAATGTGGTAAGATATCCCCTGGTATTAAATACAAGTATCATTGATGAAAAGAAGCCTATGCAAGTGTAAAAAAATCTATTGAAAAAGTACTTTTCAAAAAGATATAGATTTGTGCAAATGAACTCTATACAGTCTGAAAATTGTGCTTTACATTTTTTAAAGGAAAGACTTGTCTGCCCAGTTACATTTCGACTTTCTTATACACCACAACCAAGATACGTGTTGTCCATATCAATAAGATCTCATCATCTGTTTTTCAGAACAATCAGGAATAATTTCAGCACTCTACAAGTACTTTTTTATCCTCTAGGGCTTCACTTGGAACACATGGAATTACTTATAGTTAGCACTGTTATATATATATATATATATATATATATATTAATGACATATGACATCTAGCTGTAGCATTATAAAGTGTTTAAGGTCTGTCCTTCAAGATACTTCCTATAAATTATATTCTATTTTTACCTCTATCTTTTTATTTTGACATTATTGTTTAATTACATCATTTTCCACATCCCCTTTATTCCTCTAAACTCCCATATGTGCCCTTTTATGTCTCACAATTTTGTTACCACTTTTTTTTTTACCAATAGCCATTATATTCATGAGTATATTTATATATGTCTATGTGTATATATGTATATGTACACACTCAAACATGCACAAACACTAATTACCAACTGCTCAGTCTGTTTAATTTCAGTTGTACATGTTTTCCGAGCTGATCATCTAGTATTGAATGACCAATTGTTCTCTTCTTCCCACTCTCAGCATCTCTTAATTGCCTGTAGTTCTACTGTAGACATGTAGGGTTCTGGGTTTTTTTGATTTACAAGTTATAATTTCTATTTTTCTAATTGGGATTATCTTTAGTCATGGTGATATTTTAAGGGTGTATACAGCTTTTGACATTATTAAGAGGCATGAATTTACACTCAACTCTCTTCCTCTATACTTTTTAATCTTTCAATTACTTCATGTTCAAGGAAGCCTGGACATTGCATATGGAGGGTGGATTATAGGTGGTACTGCCATCATCAACTCCGTATTTTGGTTTATTGTAATCTTCTTTAATGGTCTCCATCAGATCCTCTACAACAAGACGATCCTATGTTGATGAGTGTATCTGAAAATCTTTTTTTTTCATTTACTGAAAATAGATTTTTTGTCACATAATATATACTGTTTAAGGTTTTCCATATCTCTATTTCTCTCAGTTTGTCCTAGACCTCCCCTCTCATCAAGATCCATTAAAAGAAAAAGGCTTCTAAGAGATATAAATAAATAAAGCATAATATAGTAAGATAAATACATTAATATATCAAATTTGACAAGACTTGCAAAAAGAAAGAAAAGAGGCCAATTAGAGATACAAGAAAGAGATAGAAACTCAGGAATTCCATTAAAAAATCCACTGAATTGAAACCTATATATGCATATGTATACATATGTGTGTGAGTCCACACATATGTGTGTGAGTGTGTGTGTGTATGTGTATGTGTGTGCACGCAAAGTCATACAGAGAAAGAATGGAGTAACAATATATCAATAAAATAAATAAAATTTAAAACAGTAAATTTTTATTTTTCAGTAAAGGAAACCCTGACAACATTGTAAGACAAGGAAACTGCAAAGTTGGTGAGTTAATGTTCTGTTGGGCACCAACTCCTGGGCTTGTAGCTGTCCTTAAGTATAGATTGTTTCTCCAGTGAAACTCCCATAGACGAATGTAAGTTATTATTTGAAAGTGATTATTAATTGAAGATTGCTTTTGGATTAGGAGTGGGGAATGTCTTCACTTCTCCTTTTAGCTCTAACCAGATCTGGTGTATACCAGGCCTTCTACATGTCATTTCAGTTTCTTTGTGTTCATAAGTACATCCATCGTATTCACTTAGAGGGACTTATAGCTTGGTGTTCTCCATCACCTATGGCTCTTATTATCTTTCTCCCTCCATTTACACAGGGTTTTTCTGAGCACTGAGAGAAGGAATTTGATGGGGATATCTAGGTTAAGGCTCACAGTTTCAAGGACTCCAATGATTCCTAAACCTTTATCTGAAGTATGGAGCTAGGAAGAACACAAAAGACAGACATGGCAAATATGTCTTTCTGTTTCTAGGTTAACTTGCTCAACAAGATCTTATACAGTACTTGTCATTTATTTGCAAATGTCATGTGCATGATATTCTTTATCATTGAATAATATTTCATAATATCTGTGTAGAATTTCTTCATTGGCCATTAGACAGTTTCAGGGCCTTTAGGTTATTTCCATTTCCTAGCTGATATGAACTGAGTAGCAATGAAGATGGATAAGCAAGTATCTGAGAAAAAGTACATAAAGTCTTTTGTGCAAAATCCAAGAAGGTGTACAACTGAGTCAAATGTTACATTCACTTTTACTCAGTAGAAATTCTCCACACTGTTTTCCAAAGTAGGTGTACTACTTTGCAATCCCATCAAATGGTGTTTCTGACAATACCCCCCCCCCTCTCTTCCTGTGTTTGTCTCTGTGGCCCTTGTTCTCTCTTCTTTTTCAGCCACTATATTCATGTCACAATCCCACAAGAAATACACTGAATATTTTTTTGAAACTGTATTTTTTTAATCATTTGTATATTCTGGATATTTGTTCAAAGCTAGCATGTTTACATGCAGGGCCTACACTACACTTTTCCTGTTTGCTAGATGGTAATGATCATGGAACATCACAATTCTTTTCTGAACTAGAGGCTACTGATAGGTTCAGGGGTTAGAAGAATGCTCCCTTTTCCTAATTTTCCCACTTGTGATGTTAAGTGGGACCAAGAGTTAGTTCTAAAGCCAAATTGACACACATAACCCTGATTAAACTCATATAGCCACAAATAGAACAAAAAAAAATGATATTGTGAATGGAACCATTTGGATTCAAGGAGTCTGACAAACTTGAGATTATAATTTTAGATGTGAGAGCAAAGAATTGTCATAATGCTTTAAATTTGTGAAATTGTGAACAAACAATTTTTTTAAAAAAGCACATTACTGGAGATACCCATGACAAAATGCATATTTGAATTTTTTTTTTTTTAGATTTATTTATTTATTTTTTTTGAACATGAAATGCTTTTTTATAGCATGTTTTACAAGGGGAGGGGGTAAGAGGGGCCAGGTGGTGGAAAAGTACAAAATCTTCTTGGCCTGTGCCTTGAAACATGTCGTGGTCTATACGGTACACTGCCTTGAATTATGATCTACCTGCTGTTCTTCAGAAGATATGGTACACTGCTTGAGTTATGGTCTCCCTGCTATTCTTAAGATGATATGGTACACTGCTTTGAGTCTATCTGCAGTTGCTAAGCAGGATCTTGCAGTTGCCAAGCTTCAGAGGACAGACCATATTTGAATTTTTTAAGGTAAGTTGTTGAATACAGAATAAATTTGAAATTCTGAGACATTCTGCACATTCAGGTTTGCAGCTCTGGGCCCTAATTCCCCTATAGTCTTTCTCATGCAATCACTCCACACTGTTCCCCAAACAAATCTATTGATATATGGCACTCATGGCATGTATGTGTTCTCTCAAATTATAGAAATCTAAAAATAACATTTGAAGTTTCTTTGGTTTTCATTCTTTCTTCATGTGCATTTGTTTTCTGTTGCTTGCCAATAAGAATGAGAGGATAATTCATGTTATAATCCAGTTACAGATTGATGATATGATTCTCTGTTTGTTGATCTTTTCAAACCAAATGGATGGTTCACTGACTTCTGTTTCTCAAAAAGTCAGCTAATTTCTTGACATGATGCTCAGGATCAATATGAACAGAGGAAGGCACCTGTTTGTTTTCACAGTTCACAAACTCCTGTGTGGATTTAATTGCCTCCACTACTTTGCCAATAATCACACATAGTGTACATTGTGTAACACATGCTTTATGATTTTATATTCAAGTATTGTTTTATATTTTCAGAAAGGATTAAACAACTTATAAAATGATTGCTCCATTTTGTTATTTTCTAGTCTTTATGTCGTTACTCATTTATATTTTCTTATTTTTTATTAATAATATTGAATTCCTTTATATAGTCTAAATACCTGTGCTATTATACAAAGTGTATTTAAATATGTTCTTAAATTTTTAATCAACTATTTATTTGTTTGTTTGTTTGTTTATTTTATTCTGACACCAAGTCTCAAATATCTACATTTTCATAAATTGAACTTCTGGACCTCTACTGGCCCCCGCGGTCCCTCCCGTCCCCCCGTTCTCTCTCCCTTCTTCCCTCCCTCCCTCTCTCTTTCTCATTCTAGCTCTATCTCTCCCTTTCCCTCTCTTTCTGTCTACCTATA